GATAAGATAGTTGGTATGTGATAAAACGATGAGGTATGAAAGATGATTAAGAATGATATTAGCAGATGCACCAATTAGAGAATATCATAAAACTAGCAGATGCGTTTAAGAATAATATCGGTAGATGCACCAAGTAGTGAATGTCGTAATCCTGGCAGATGCGCTTATAGGATAATCCTGGCAGATGCACTTATAGGATAATGTCGGCAGATGCGCCTAAAAGATAATGTCATAAACCTGGCAGTCGCGCCTCATAGTGTATGACGTAATCCTGGCAGAGGCGCTTAAAGGATAATGTTGGCAGATGCGCCTTATGTAGCAATGGAAGTTTGTGCTAATTCCTTAGGTCAATCCTTAGGAATGAATGAATGATGGGTAGTTGAATTCCTAGGGTAAAATCCTAAGAAATAAAGAAGATAATAGAGATGGGTAATTGAGTTGACTGTTTGATGGTTGAATATAATAATTATATTATTGTGGGTTGAAAACCCTATATGCTCACCAGGCCCCCAAGCCTGACCCACTCAATTTTCTTTGCATTACAGGTAATGACACAAGAGTATAAGTTGGTGGACTTGACGAGAGATTTTGGATTATAGGCCAGTAGTTATGAATAACTGTTGTAAGGTATATTTTGTTCTGTTTATGCTTTTGGTCTGTATTGAACATGACATCCCGAGATTTTGTTATATAATGAAAATACATTTCTTTAAAGAAATGCTTTGATAATTTTTATCATATTTTGTTTTGAGAACAAATTCCGCAACTGTTTTCTTTAAAAGATTACTCTGATTTTATAAAACAAAGCATAAACAAATCGGTGTTTTTTGGCCGTGAAAATAGGGATGTCACAAAAAACCATATGGTTCATTATCTAAGTGAAACCGTTAGAAAATGAAAAAAAAAATCAAAAAAATATTAGTTGCGGGTCCGAGTCGGGTCATATTAACATGATAGAAAATGTAAAAAACAAAAAATAAAAAAGTATTACTTTTGATAATATGCTCTTTTAATTGTAATCTCTCTAATTCACATGATGAAGTTTCTTATTTGGTTGTTATTTCAACAAGCAGTTAACTTAAACCTTTTATTTATCATTCATTTAAAAAAAAAAAAAAACTTGAATAAAGACAATTTTTTATTCTAATTTCTGAAACAAAGGGCAATTATCAAACCAATAATTAACTAACACAATTCAAAAACATGGAAGTGAATGTAATTAAACAAGTCTAAAGAACAAGTTGCTAAAATCATTGACAAATTCGTCCCTTTTAGTGTGAACTGTGAATAAAAGGCTTGGAATATGGAAATGAATTTAGATAAAGTTTTAAACAAAGACCAAAAAGATGACAAATGGTTTTTCAAATTGTCAAATACATTAAGAAAATACCCTTTTTGAATCAAATAATAAAGGTCTTGAAAGTTGAAAGTTGGAAAACGATAAACATTTATTTATCAAATTCATTAACAAAAATCATCAAGCTCAATAAAAAAGATTCATATAACAATTAACATTGGAAGTGATTAATTAAACATAACGAGAATTCTAAAAACATGTTGGAGTGTGAGTCTAGTCGGTCGGTGGTGTCGTAGGAAGAAGGCGGGCAACGGGAGTCGATTGGTTGAGGGCATCGATCACATTCACAATGACCTTCACAATCGTTTTAATTTTTCATATTGTTTTTCCTTTTCGTTTAATTACAACTTTTTATCGGGCCAATGTTTTTTTTTGGCTTACTATACACGGATTGGGTATTGAAATATAAATTTTAGGCTTCTAAATTTTTTTTGTTGATACTAAATAGTAAATACTATCAATTAGTTGACTCAAAGTTTGCAGGGTGTGTTACAATTTTTTCGCTAAATAAATTTCAATATCATGTAAAAAAAATTAGGAGGGTCAAAGAAACCACCTTCATCAAACATAAACTCACCCACTATCAAAAATGATATTGGTAAGTACAATAAAATATTAAAAGTGTTAGATAAATATCTTTTACATATTTGGTTTGTATGTTTATGTTTATATAAGTTTTATTTTTTGTATGTTTATGTTTATATATGCTTTTTTTTTTATAAAAAGTTTCTACGTTTATGTTCGTGTAACATCTTAATGAATATAAACGAACAAGCATGATTTACGAACAAGGTAAATTGTTAAATGAACAAACATAAACAAGAAAGTTTGTTTGTTTATATATTCATGTCTGTTCGTTGTTTTGTTAAACATAATGTGATCGAAAACGATCATGTCAATCATTATAAAATATATTTTTACTTCAAATTTGAGCCTTTATATTGTAGGAGTATTTTTAAGAAAAGAAAACTTTTGAAACCTATGAGCCATGATATTGTGCAATCACTCCGTTAAAAACATACTCCTTTTATTCAAGCTTTATAATAATCTCCGAGTCATGAACTTATTCAAGAAAATCAGAACCATCTTTTTTTGGTCTCTTAATTTCGTAAATGGTATGTTGCCATATTAATAAGGCGGACCAATAGATTGTTTTAAAATCATTATCACCATTTTTTCAAATATGATAGATACATGGATTCTTATAATTATTTCTACATTAGTATAATTAGTATATCAATACAACAACAATTATCTTTCAAATATGGTATTTATTGTCACATCAATAAATATTTAGTATTTTTTAACAAATATTTTAATTGTTCGTAAACAAGAATTATTTAAAAGTTAATATTAATATATCTACTTATATTTCAAATACAAGATAATTGTTTAATATTATTAATTATAAAATAATAACAACTTGTGGATCAAACTGATAATAATAATTTAAAATAAAGAATGTGATCATATTAATACACTTTAAAACGAAGAATTAGGTTTTCTATTTGTTTATCTTATCAACTAATTGTATTATGTCATACTATTAGATACTTATATTACTATTGGTTTATATGTATATATTTTATATACGTTAAGTCTTATATTTTAGTTTTGTGGTTTAGTTACTAAAAATCATCTAGGCTTGATTAATTTTATAGATTGCAGGTCACAGTGTTTATAATATTTAGTGATATAGCGAAATACTTATTGTCTAAGTTTTATCCAAAAAGTTACATTATATACACTAAACTTTTGATAATTTTTTTATTGTGAATGTTATAACGTGGTAATAAGACTATTACATATTAAATCATATTTGAGATGGAAAATGTTTGTAATGGTAAAGCCATGTAATCTAAAATTAGATACCAAACATAAATTTGGTTTTGAAAACAATATAAGAAGTTAATTAAGGCTAACCTAGACCATCAACAACCAAGCTATTAATGTTTTAAATTTTGGGTTAACTTGTCCATTTGGATCGTAATCTAATGAAGAGAGTTGGTGAATCTTGAACCATTTTTTTTTTTTTTTTGCATATTTCTAACTTATATTGGACTAGGACAATTTGAAAATGAAACAACGATATCTATTATTCTATTTTGAAGTAAAAACCCAATATATTCGACCTCGAAAGCCAAATCTATTCTCTTAGGCAAACTTCATGGGCGAAATAGTTAAGACTTAACAACGATTCATGAAGAGGGGTATTATTAAGTCGTAGAGTTCAAGTGAGAAATGTAGGCCTAGAGAAATAGGATAAATGGTTGTTTTTTTAGAGTTTTATGATAGAATTTAATGTTATCAAAGCGAGTTACCGGATATTGTTTAGTTGTGTGCTAGGGATGAGCAAAAATCGAACCGAAAACCGAAAAACCGAAAAAAACCGACATAACCGAAACAAGAAAACCGAAACCAAAGCAATAACCGACGGTTTAGGTTTGAATTTTACAAAAACCGAAAAATAACGGTTTGGTTCGGTTTTGACGTATAAAACCGCGCATAAAAACCGAACCGACCCACATATATATTATTTATATTATCATTTAAACTTTTAGTTTTAAACTTTAAACTTTATCTCTTTAATACTTTATGTTTATTTTCAACAAATTGTTAGTTGTGTTAAACTTTGATCTTTTAAACACTTTTATGCTTTTATAATACTAGAATTCATACTCTTTATTTTAGTATATTTAAAATAGATACAATACTATTTATCGCAACGTATTTTCACTAGGTTTGAACAAAACAACTAGAAAAAAAAAACAAGAGCTCATAAACCCACAGTTTAAAACCGAAAACCCATAAACCCAATCCGAAAAACTGAAAAACCGACCCATGCAAAAACCGAACATATATGGGTTTAAAAACCGAAAAATCGACTTTCTACGATTTGGTTTGATTTTAACCAAAACCCAACCCAAACTGACCCATGTTCATCCCTACTGTGTGCACTACTTATCACTTGCTTGACTACTTATATGAAATTATACATGCCGTTCAAAACCGAGTTGATTCGTTACCCGACCACCACACCTGGTCAATAAAAAATTGTATTTAAAATATTGTGAGTTATTATATTTGATTATTCTGCAAATAGATTTTCATATGGATCTTTCCAACAAGATTTGGACACAACTTTTCTCTTTATTTAAATAAAATAAATATTTATTTTTGATTTTAATTGAAAACCATCAAATCAATATAAACAACATTAAAAAAAGGGGGGTAATAAAGGTAAAACGAAAAGGTTATATATATATATTCCCCCCAAAAAAAATAAAGATCAATCTGAAAATTTTCGATAAATCTTATAAAATATATTTAGAAAAAAAAACATAAAGGTTTTTCGGAAATAGAGAAAAGATCTAAACAAGCTGTATACTTATATACTGTTCATACATATTCCTTATTTCCTTTATCAATTATCCATTTATTTAAGAACCCATCTTGAAAAAGGGAAAAACCCATTTAGGATTGAAGTATCTGGAGTCCGGACCCGTTTGGGAAAACGATCTTACGGTGCGCAAAAGATCCTTCACACACGTCACCACATGGACCGTTGATATTTCTTTGATGCACACCACCACCATAACTGACTTATATATAAACCCCACTTTCATATTCATTTATCATTTAACCTCCCTCATCACACGCTATCGATAACATCATACCACAATCTTTGTCTCTATCGTCTGCGGTTGGAACAGCTTCAGTTTGAGCTCGTTGCTACTTACTGGTGTGTTCTTTCCTTAGATCTGAAGCGGATAAACATACCACTGGTTGGCGAGTTTTCTTCTCTGTTCTGTAGATTCACCTAGAACCGAAATTCTACTTTCCAGTGAGATATCTAGGTTTCCGGTCACGACGGTGCAAAATGGGGTTCTCGTTTCCGGAGGATCTGTTAGAACATGTTTTCTCGTTCATAACCTCTCATAAGGACAGGAATGCCGTTTCATTGGTGTGCAAGTCGTGGTACGAGATCGAGCGGTGGTGCCGGAGGAGGGTTTTCATTGGGAACTGTTACGCTGTGAGCCCGGGGATTGTGATTAAGAGGTTTCCGGACTTGAAATCGGTTGAGTTGAAAGGGAAACCGCATTTTGCGGATTTTAATTTGGTTCCGGATGGTTGGGGAGGATATGTTTACCCATGGATCGTTGAGTTTTCAAGAGCGTACCCTTGGTTAGAGGAGATAAAGCTTAAGCGGATGGTAGTCACTGATGAGAGCTTGGAGTTGATTTCCAAGTCTTTTAAGAGCTTTAAGGTTTTAGTTCTGTCTTCATGCGAGGGTTTCAGTACCGATGGACTCGCTGCCATTGCCGCTAATTGCAGGTTGAGCTTCTTTCCCCTTACTGATCTAGTAGCGAAAAAATGCTTGAAAACCGAATTTCGTATATTAGTAGTTGAGTTCTTACTTCTTAGTTAATTCGCGAAGAAAGTTTGATTCTCGAGGACGACAACCATTAATAAAAGATGATAATAATCATAATTGCTGTTTGTTTCAATTTGCATATTACCTTTTTCTGTTCCCCTCATAGATGGTTCTTTAGATATGAGTTCGGAAATTATCTACATGCATCTCTAATTTTACTTTGATTGCCTCTGTTCCATCTTAAAATTCCTTTCATATGATGTGATTAATGTATTTATTTGTGAAATTTCGTATAGAGAGTCTTTGAGCCCGGCATCTGTAATTTAGATACCATATAGCTCCTGCTAAGCTCAATTTGTTTACTATTAGATTCTGTTGAAACATCTTTTGATTCTAATTCTACACATCTGTCCTATGGGGAGTTCTTTTGAAAGTTTGTATGTTTTTTGGGAATTATAACTTGGGTAATGCAACAGTACCAAACTGTTCATTTTGCCTAATCTTAACTAGCTGACAGCTGAGTTTATTGTCGGGTATTAAAACTGTAACTTTTTTGTTTTTGTGTGTGTATGAACTCATTTGAATCCTCCTCCTTTATATGCAGAAATTTAAAAGTACTAGATTTGCGGGAGAGTGAAGTGGAGGAGCTAAGTGGGCATTGGTTAAGTCACTTCCCTGATAGTTTCACCACATTGGAGTCTCTTAACATAGCTTGCTTGGGTTCTGAGGTAAGTTTCTCAGCCCTTGAGCACCTGGTTGCCCGCTCACCCAACTTAAAGACTCTTCGACTCAACCGTGCTGTACCCCTTGACAAGCTCTCAACACTTCTACACAGAGCCCCACAGCTGGTTGAGTTTGGCACAGGTGCCTATTCTGCAGAAACTCGACCCAGTGTGTATTCAAGTTTATCAGAAGCTTTCTCACATTGCAAAGAGCTTAAGGACCTTTCTGGGTTTTGGGATGCAGTTCCTTCATATCTCCCAGCCATTTATCCGGTTTGTTCTAGGCTCACTTCATTGAACTTGAGCTATTCCCCTATCCAAAACCCTGAGATCACCAAGATCATAACTCAATGCCATAATCTCCAGCGTCTATTGGTACTGGATTACATTGAGGATGCTGGGCTTAATGCCCTTGCTATGTCATGTAAGAACCTACAAGAGCTAAGGGTGTTCCCTTCTGAACCATATGTAATGAATTCAAACGTCTCCTTAACAGAGCAAGGCCTTGTTTCTGTTTGTGAAGGGTGCCCTAAGCTTCAGTCAGTTCTCTATTTCTGTAGACAAATGTCAAATTCTGCATTGGTCACCATTGCTAGGGCACGTCCTAACTTAACATGCTTTCGTCTGTGCATTATCGAACCCCAAGCCCCTGATTACCTCACATTTGAACCACTGGATTCCGGTTTTGGAGCCATAGTAGAACACTGTAAGGACCTCACACGTCTTTCATTATCCGGTTTCCTTACAGATCGTGTGTTCGAGTACATTGGGGCACATGGTAAGAAGTTAAAGATGCTTTCTCTAGCTTTTGCTGGCGATAGTGATTTAGGTTTGCATCATGTTTTATCGGGGTGTGAGAGTTTAAGCAAGTTGGAGATTAGGGATTGCCCTTTTGGGGATAAGGCTTTGTTGGGTAATGCTGCTAAGCTGGAGACAATGCGATCCCTTTGGATGTCTTCATGTTCAGTTAGTTTTGGAGCGTGTAAATTGCTTGGTGAAAAGATGGGTAGGGTTAATGTTGAGGTTATGGATGAGAGTGATTACTTGGAGTTGGATTCAAAGTCGGATGGTTGTTTAGTTGAAAAGCTTTATGTATATCGCACAGTCTCGGGTCCAAGGCATGACATGCCTCCCTTTATATACACAATGGGTCAAGACTCTGCATACAGGTTGAATTAGTTAGGGATATGATGTCATTGGGTATAGAAGATTGATTACAAGGTAGTACTCCATCATTTGAGTTGCCTTATTTATTTATGTTGTTAATTTAGTAGAAAGTTACATTTTTCTTAGAATTTAGTTTGCATACTGTCTTTTGAGGGGATTGTAATACGTCATTCCTTGGCAGGAAATGTGATGGAACTCAGTAATAAATTAAATATTGAATAATTTATGTGTTATTTTTATTTGTTTCAATTTCATTATATGTCTCTATTTGGTAACCAAAGGAAACTCTAACATGCTTGTAATTATTCAACCAAATTGCGTGAAGCAGAATGACAGCTGGCTCGATTCGTTTGCACCGATTATTTATTTTTTTTACCATTTGGATTCTCTTGGATCAAATTTCTTTAGTTAAACGTATCATGATAATTAAACCTTAGCAACCGTTACTGATTATGTACATATATATCTTAAAATCTGTGTCTGTGTGCTATATATTTTTTGCTCAAAATCCTGCCTCATTTATTTATTTATTTATTAATTTGGGTTCCATTCCAAGAGCAAGAGCCAAAAGAATGGTTGCATGTCTTTTATTGTTATGTAAGTGTCAGGCGTGATGTGAAAAACAGGTACAAGAAGTAAAAAATAATAATGGTTTTGAAGTTTTTAAATTATTGTGAGTAGTGACGCCTGGGTGCCTGGCTGCAAATGGAATAGAAATATAGTTGCTTGGATTCATGTTGGGTTGGGTTGAGGGGTCTCAGGGACAAAGCTGCAGAAGAGGGACCATTCCCATACGCCAGTCGCCAGAGACTCAGAGATTCCATGGTGTCCACAACTCTCTGCTCTACCATCTAATGACTAATGACTAATCACTAATCTAATCTTTGGTAAAATATATTTCACCCATTTTGCTTTTCTCATCTGGGGACCACAATGTTACCTCTCATTTGCATGTCTGTTATTCATTTAATTACATCCATAAATAAGCATGTCTGTTGTGATTTGTGACCAGTCGCCTTGGCCTAAAAGTTAGAGTAACACACTTCAATTTATACGCAAAAGTATTATCTTTTTTTTTTTTCATAATATATTCTACATTTTGAGTTTCCTTTTTGTTTTACACCTAAAACTATTGTAACAAAAAATACCGAGCCCATTACCAACAGTGGCCCTAAGTATCGATCACCTAGAAGAATTAAGGATTAGCATGGATCGGTTTTTGGCTAAAAAACCAAACCAAACCGTAGAAAGTCGGTTTTTCGGTTTTTAAACCCATATAGGTTCGGTTTTTGCATGGTTTGGTTTTCCGGGTTGGGTTTATAGGTTTTCGGTTTTAACCCGTGGGTTTATGAGTTTTTTTTTTTATTTTTTTATTTTTTTATTTTTTTTAACCTAGTGAAAGTACGTTGCGATAAATAATATCGTATCTACTTTAAATATACTAAAATAAAGAGTATGGGTTCTAGTAATAGATAAAATTTTGGTATTTTTAAAAAGAGAAATTAAATATATTTTTATATTTTATTCGTATTCATTTTCCTATAAATATTAAATGTTTATATGTGTCACATTTAATAAAATTAATAATATTTTAATACATTTATCATCATTTATCATATGTATAAAAATATGTAGGAAGAAAATATAGAAAAATATTTAATTTATCTTTTAAAAAATATAAGAACTTTTAGGTATAAAACGAAAAAAAAAATCTAAATATCAGGACATTTTATAAAAATTTCCTATATATTAGATGAGGTTGACGTTTAATAATAATAATAATAATAATAATAATAATAATAATTACATAAATGATGAATATGACGAGGCATTGAGAAAAGAGGCCCACATACATGCAAAAAGGCAGAGCAATAAACAAGAGAAGTGAAGGAAAAGCAAAAACAGTGAAAACCTGCCAAAAAAAAGCAGTAAGTTTTGGACCAAAGTTGTACACTCGAATTTAGTCACCACCCGCTTTCATGCATGCCACTCTACTTTTTGCAGTTTCTTTACCCCACTTTTCACTTTCACACTACAGCTTTAATACCCTATTACCCTTCTTTTTAATATTTTTCAAAATTTTATTACCTCATAAAGATTGAAAATGCTCAATGTGTTGAATTGTTTTAACTTTTGTGTATATAATTGAATTGGCCGACGTATCTATGAATAAGCCTCGAGAAACGAGTCTTTTGACCTCTTGGTAACATTAATCTTACCAGGCGTAGGCAGTAAAAATGACTTGCATTTGAGTCTTGACCTTTAAACAGAAAAACAACTAAAAGTCTGCATCGTACACAGTATCATCTTAATCGATTTTGTTGTAGGGTACATTTGTAACAATAAATATTTTATCTAATGAATAAGGTAGTTAAGATAACAAACCACTCTCTATAGAACTAGTCCAAAAGAAATCTTACTATAAAGGAAAGCGGAGAAACACACACATACACACAAAGGGCACATATAACAAAAGTTCTAAATGGTTGGAGACATGATGCGGTAGGAATAAGGTGCCTCAACTTTTGACCACACCATGTGTATACATATATAGAAGCTGGGGCAAAGCAATTTTTTTTAAGGTTTTGTCTATAAATTAATTAAACACACATAGATGATACCTTAAACCATAAACACAACGGTAGCACGGAGCTTAGTGAGTTCCCCATAACATACTCCATACAATTCACGTAATCATATAAACCATATCAACCATACAATCCATGCATACAAACATATACAGATGTCGTAGACTCCCTCCAGGGTCTTACTCTAGAATGTTGTGGGCTCCCCCAGGGTCTTATACCTATCTGCTAAGGGCTCCCCCCATGGTCTTACTTGGAATGTCATGGGCTCCCCCTCATGGTTTGATATCCAAGTGCCATGGGCTCCCCGATGGTCTTTACCTGGAATGCCATGGGCTCCCCCACATTGTATTATATCCACATGTCATGGGCTCCCTCGGGGGTCTTCCATGCAAGTATCACAAAGACAACTAAGATATCACATATCATATAAACAACTAGCATACCACATATCACATACACAACTAACTGAATGAGCCGACATTGGTGCCTTCAACTCATTGGTATGGTGAAGAGACTCACCTTGATTGCAGAAGCTTCCTGGAAGAATCCCTAGCTGCCGCCCCGTCGACTTCACGAGCTATCAATACCAGACTCAGATAAAATCTTAGTTAATAGGCCAAAACCCTCAAGTTTGGCCTAAGGTCAAACTTGGTTAAAAGTCAACGGTCAATGAAAGTCAAAGTCAACAAGTCAAATTTCAGGCTGAGTACGCCCAACGCACTCAGCTCGTATGCGTGGCGTACTTACCAACCAGAATCGGGACCCCATACGAGTATGCGTAGCGTACTCGAAGGTATGTCCGACGTACCCTACCAAATGGCACTTTTCCATTAAGTGCTTAATCTCTTAAGTCCTTTCATCCAACACTCAGATCTAGTCCAACAACATCATTCTAAGTCATAAAGTTTCCACCTTTATGACTTTCCATGTCTAGAAAATATCTAAAAGCTAAAACCTTAACTTATAAATCCATTAAGACATATTAAAGGTATAGAAGGATCAAGATTACATTTTTATGGATCCTAAAAGCTCCATAATGGATAAGGCTTCCAACCTTATCCATTAGAATGGTCCAAACCACCAAGATCTATCCTTTAAGCATCAAATGGGACCAAGAATGCATCTTTTTCAACTTAATCCATTAAGTCCAAGTCTCTAACCTTCAGATCTGAATTATAATGATGTTTAGATGGATAAACTTTCCAAATTTATCCATAACAAGGTCACAAACTTTCAAGATCTAAACTTTATGCACTAAATGAACAAAAGCTCATAACATCCGAAACTAGCTAGATCTAACAAATGCATCATCAAGATTCAAAATTTATACCTCTAAAAGATAGATCAAGGTAAACAAAGTCCAGATCTACAAACTTCAATGCAACCAACACATCTACAAGAAGTTCCTTCTTCTCCAACGTGCACCATACATACGCCAAAGCACTCAAAATCACCTTCTTTTAGCTCAAAAGGCTCATCTAATGTTAGGGTTTCATGAAAGGGGTGTTGGAGGGGTGGAGGCTGAGAATAGAGTGGGTTTGGGGGAGTTAAGGAGCTTAAATAGGGCTAAAACCACGAAAATAGGGTTTGGGTACTGATTGCATACGCCAAATGTACCCCTGGTACACCAAGCGTACTCAAGATTCCATTAGTATGCCCAACGTACACCTTTTTGTACACCCATCATACTCAACTTGGCCCACACCACCCTTAATTCAAACCATCATAACTTATTCGTTCTAACTCTGTTTTTGACGTTCTTTATATCCATAGAAAGGTATTGAGGAGCTCTACAACAATATCTAATAACTTTTGATTTAAAACACATCGAAATAAAATCCATAGTTCATAACAGAAGTTTGAAACACTACATTCCCATTTTACCCTTTGACTCCAAAGTGCAAACTGAACTATTGGGTCACATATCTACATTACCCACATCCAAATGGGCCTAAGTCTTACCTTTTTAAAGGCGCTAACCCTTATGATGACCATTTTTGGGCCACAGCCTCGAATTAGGAATTGATTCGGAACAGGGCGTTACAACTCTCCCCCACTTCAATTAGATTTTATCCTCAAAATCGTTCACTACCATCCCTGACATACCAGGAAACCTGAGCAACACGACCACAATCCCGTGAATACCATAGCCTTCCCAAGGCAACCGAAACCAACCAAACCAAACTCTCTCTAATCTTGGCGAAGGATAAATCCTTCATCTCATGCAAGAAACTACTCCTGCCTCCCCAGATCCTTAGACCTTACATTGGTCTGACTTTTTGATAGACCTCCCACACTGGAATCGTACCATAAAATTTTCCTTCATGGATAACATCGAACAACCACTTCCGATCCTAATTAACTTGGTGTTACCAACCAAATGAATTCACTTACCATGTCCAGATGCCGAACGTCCGTCTTAACATATAGTCAAAATAATCCTTCGAGTAGAGGATCCATCTTTGCAACGGTTAGACTCAAACGAGAGTTGCACAACAGAGTCAAATCGATTATTCTAAGATTATTTAATCCCACTGCAAGTGTCTTAGCATCTCCCGGTCAATGACTATTCCACATAAGGATCCTAATCACTGCCGCTACTCGGAATACCATATCGCCGTCTAGCTGCTTTCCATAGCAACC